TAGCAAGGCCCTGTCTCATTTGGGTGTAGTTGAGGGATTCTCAGAGACAGTATGTGACATTTATATACCAGTTTGTGATTTCCTTAGCACACCTATTTCAATGTCTCAACTCTGTGACCTAAAATGATGCCCTCTCCCATGAACAGTCACGCCTGCATTGGTCATCATCTCACTTTATTATTTATTATTATTAATATTACCATTATTATTATTATTTGCAGTGAAGTGCATAAAACCTAGGGTCTTGCATTGAATGCAAGGCAAGCACCATACTACTGAACTGCCTTCCAGTTTATTGTTTACTTCTTGTGTTACATCTTTCACAATCAGAGCTTCTTTTATTCATTGTCTTTGCTCTGTTTTCTTGTTTGTCTTTTGTTTTTATTGGTTGATTGATGATTGATTGATTGATTGAATTTTGAAGCAGCGTCTTATTATGCAGTCCAGGCTGGCTTTGAAATTTCTGTGTGGTCCAGGCTGGCACCATCCTCCTGCCTAAGCTTCCTGAGTGCTGAGATCACAAGTGTATGCCACCACACTCAGCCGCTTGTTTATTTTATTTATGCTCTATCTATAGGACATGAAACCTACTTGGCCACTGAGCCTGGCACATTGCCCCTGTTTTCTCATCACTATCTTGCCCCTAATCAGTGTTAATATACAGTATTTAGGACACGATGGATTTGAGATGGGATGGGGCACCAGAGGAAACTGATTCAAGAGTGGCTAAATCAAGGCCAAACTGGAATAGGGAGTCAAATTTTTTGGCTACCAAGCCATTTCACTGGCTCTTTTCTTACTTTGATTCCTGTCTCTCTGAATTCCCAGCTGAATATCTTGCCTTCCACCTCCAACCAAGCACACAGCTTGCCCTTCCTTCTGCATCAGTACACTTGCCCCTTGGCCAGTTGACCTGTTGGTCTGTGCCAATGGGCCCAATAGTAGGTGCTAATTGTTACATCACCAACACCAGCAATGCTGTTCCAGACCCACAGCACTGCTAAGGGATGCTTGCAGCCATTTGTTCATCCTGCACAGTATGTGTGCCTGTGCCTCTTCCTGAACCTGAATCACGGTCAGGTTCCAGTGTGTGTCTCAAAACACCCTCTATCTTTCTTGTTTTAAACTGTTTCTAACTGGATGACCTTCGGGCACCTTAAGCAATTAAAAGGAATGTAAGGACATATTTCACTGACAAGGCCCCTCCAGTACCCAGCCAGTTCTATATTTATGAGGTACTTGAAAGATAGTGAACTACAGGAAAATTCTTCCACACATATCAAAGGGATTGTGGGAAGGCAGTGACATCTTTCTCTCTTCTCCATACTTGCCACGAAACAAGTGACTTGGCAGCATAAGCCCTGCTGGGTGAGCTCTCCAACAGCCCCCACACCTGATTCTTTCATGAGCCTAGAGGAAAGGCAGTCTCATATCTGACACCATAGTTTTCAGGCAACCAGACTACTAAGTCACTGGCCTATGTGCTGCCCCTTCAGATCAGCAAGTGAAGCTCTCTGTGGGCTGGATCAAGAGCCAGATCATTCAGAGCAATAATCAGAGTTTCTGCTTCTGATGTGTAACTCATTCTGGAGGAGTTGGCAGATTTTTTAGCTCTAGTCGTGGCTATAAAGGGGTTACCTCCTGTGCAGAGCATGAAGGTAGCTAAATCATAGCACAGGGAGAACACGGCAGCCAACTCCTGCCAAAATAGCTGCATGCCAGGCCCACTATAATTCCCACTATGTTTATTTGTATTTGCTCTTGATCCTAAATCCCAAAGATCTTCTAATTTCTCCTTAACCTTGGAATCATTCCTGAAGAAAAAGAACTTGCTCTAGGTTGAGAGGTTAACTCAGACTGAGTCACGGAGCCAGGCTCTCCAATCACTCCTAGGCCTCTGGGACAGTATCACACTCTGAATTGTCCTTTCAGGATCACTCAACTGGCGTGCTTGGTCATTACCAAAGGAAATCGAAACAGACGCTGCTTCAGTGACCATGACTTCTTCGGGAACAACAGAACTCTAGATCACTGCAATAGTCCAGCTTATTCCCTCCCAAACCCCACCCCCACCCAGTGCCCATGACTAGGGCTTTTTGTGTTATCCTGGAGTTGGCACCATCTCCATTTCCTGCCAATAATGCTGGCTGTTGTTTCTGAGCAAATGGAACAAGTGACCAACATGAACTCCATGCAGTCTTCAAACTGGAAACATCTGCAGGGAGGGAAGGGTAATGCCCAGTGGGGCGGGTCAGCAGGGGAAGCATTTGGAGGCTCTGTGGGAGAAAGGTCCAAGGACAGGGAGAAAGGCACAAGGTGAAGCCAAAGCAGTACTCCACAAACAGTTAAAATGCTCTACTTTAGATGGCTACACCTAGACCTAAACTCTCACAATATTCCCCTCTTTTTACTTCCCAAAGGTTCTCTCTTCTTCTTCTTCTTCTTCTTCTTCTTCTTCTTCTTCTCCTCCTCCTCCTCCTCCTCCTCCTCCTTCTTCTCTCTTCTCTCTTCTCTCTCTCTCTCTCTCTCTCTCTCTCTCTGTCTCTTAGTTTTTCGAGACAGAATCTCACTCTATATTTCACAGCAATCCTGTCTCAGCGCCCAAGAGCTGGGATTATAGGCATGAGCACAATGCCCAGCCTTTGCTGTGTCTTCACCAAAGGAAATCTTATGCAATTCTTTTTATGGATACACTTTTTTCTTTGGTACCAGTGATTGAACCCAGGGCCTTGAGCACGTTAGATAAGTATTCTATTATTGAGTCACACCCCCAGTGACATATAATTTTATATGTTACAATCTGTGTATAAGCAAGGTGTGATGTCATACAACTGCAATCCCAGCTACTCAGGAGGCTGACAAAGAAGATCACAAGTTTGGAGCCATTCTAGGGCAATTTAGTGAGAGCCTGCCTCAAAATAAAAAATAAAAAGAGCAATGAATACAGCTTGGGTAGAGGGCTCCAGGGTCCCACGTCTAGTACTGAAAACAAAACAAAATCTATTTAGTGAAGCTGAAACAGATCTTAGAAAATAATAAGTCCAACTCCCCATTTCACAGATGACAACGAAGATCCAAAGAAGCAGATTTAGTAAGATAAAAGCAAAGTGTGATTCAGTACCCACCCCCCACCCCATCCCACTGCAGTTGTGTGTGTGAGCACACGGATGAGTGCACATCCCTTAAAATCACACTGAAACAAGCCACGCTTCCTTAAACTCAGGAGCCAGCTAGGGAAGTTCCTGTGTAGTAATGCAATATTACAATATAGTAACCGTCCTGAGCCCAGCACTATGCATCATCTGACCTTTCATCAACCCCTGGAAAGTTCTATCATTGGCTCCCCCTTGATCCTCAGTGGAGCTCTCTAATGGAATGTACCATTTTCACTACATCTTTTTTTTTTTTTTTTTTTTTTGGTACAATCAAACTCACTCACAACCGCCAGAGTGCCAGGCAGGCAGATGCAGCTGAACTATATCCCCAGCTCCCACATCTGCTTTTTGCAGGTAAGGAAATGGATATTGAGCAAGTTTGAGTTATTGCCCCAGCTGCACTGCTAGCACAGGATAGAGTCAGACTTGGCATAAGACAGTCACAAACTCAATTGTGTTACGATGCTGAGTTTACCTCACTGAAACCTTGAAAGCTCATGTATACAGATGACTAACAGTGGTTAAGAGTTTAGAATCCTGAATTCAATAGAAAAATAGGTTCTCTGTAGAGAGAATCTCTAGAGCAAATCTACTTCTTGCTGTAAATACTAACCTGGAAAGAATCCTCTGAGCATCTCTTGGATGGTTACTATGGAGGGAAATCAGTCTGAATCTTGGTCTGCCTGGTCTCACAGAAGTCACTCAACCAGGACTCCCACCTGCTAAAAGCACAGCCTGCTTTCTTATACTTTTGAGAGGAAGCATCAGGTTCCTAAGCAGCATTCTGTAGGGCTTTGGGTGTTTAATAACCCAAAGAAAGATTGAGAGAAAAATCGGGGTCTCACGTTTCTTGGTGGAAATGTGGACTCTGTTGGTGTCCTTCCAATGTGACAAAGAAAGAGGTCCCTACCAGGAGCTAAAACTGTCCCTTGTGCCAGAGGTTATGGGCACTGGTTCTTCCAGATAGATTTTGGGATGCTCCTCTGTGAGCTGGGAACTGGAGGGAACTAGACATAGCTACAGGAGTTCTGAGGAAGCTTTTGAGCCAGAATTTGTGGGTAGGGCAGCTGCTGGGAGTCACAGTGGCGTCAGTCCATCTCCCCTGCTCTACTGTGGTGGGTGGAGTGGGTAGGACTGTGGCTATGATTCATCCACAATACAATTTGAGGATGCTGCTAGTACACCCAGCCGGACATGCTCTCCCGGAACTGCAAAACTAGAGGGACAAGGTCAGCACAGCTTGGTCTCAGAAAGTAAAGTTCCCTGGAGGGTTCACTGGGCAATGCCAACAATGGCGTTCCTACCATTTATCTGGATGCCTCAGGTTGGGTCAATTCCTGAGTGACAGAGCTGGCTGCCTCCCCACACTGAGCCAGGACTTGAGCCCAAGTGAGAACCTCTACTCAGTCCTATCAAGAGATCAGTGAAGCCTGTGCTTTGCCTGCCAGGACAGTGTCCTTGGCCCCCTCCTCAGCCATGCCACTGCACATGTACAAGCAGTCTTCCTTTCCCAGGGCCAGCCAGCTGCTGCTCTGCTGGAGTTGGAGGCCTGTTCAGGGTATTTGAGACAGGGGAGTAGGAGGTAAGCCAAACGGAAGTCACAAATATCAACTTAAAAATAACCCCCTCTATGTCAGCCAGGGGGAGGAGCTTGCTAAGGAGCCAAGTTATGATGGTAATGGCTCATGTCCACATAAGAAAGGCCTCAAAGCAAATCAGCAGAGGTTAAACCTGGAGCCCACCCCTGGCTCTTATCAGCCTGGGCAAGCCACTGCCCTACTTGTCTCAGGGACTTCCTCTCCAGCCAGCATCTGTTTCCTCTCCTATATTTAAACAACCAGGTTAGTGAACTTGTGAGAGCATTTCTGCCCAGGAAAAACAAAGCCTTCTACACAACACACAGAGCATACTGTGCCTCTCAGGCCTTGTGGCCTGCTCTGTGGTCCTTCTCAGCTGCTACTGGGTGAGTGTAGCCTGGGGTCCTGTCCTCCAAATCCATTATTTTGTACAGTGAGTAGCAAAGCTGAGGTCTGAAGAAGTCCTAGCTTGAGGGAGGGAGGGCAGGCAACTGATAAGGTCCATCTAAGCAGTGCATGATGCCTTCCAATGCCGGATAGCATGAAGGGTTTGGAACCTCAAGAAAACCAGAAATATATGTAGTAACTTGTTTCACAGCCCTAGGCCTGAGGGCTGATGGTGCAACCTTTTCATACTGCTGGTCTTGAGATGAATTCAGGCCTTTGATTCCAGCAACATTCTCACTTTTATCTAACAAAGCTAGTTTTTTGGGGGGTAGGAGGCCCCATCTGTTGAGAATCATTCTATATAATTGTTGGGAGAATTGCAGTCAGGGCTTGCCTGAGGCCTAGTGTCTTGCCATGCAGGCTGGCTGTGGGATATAGGAACATAATTCTGCGTGCCTCCTGTCACAGTTCAGGACTCGATGGTCCTGTGACATTGTGCTGCCCCATATCAAGACTGCAGCACCAACTAAAGACACTCTGGTTCCTTGAGAACCCAGTAGTAATAAAAATAGGGATTCACCTTGGAAAAGAACAAACTCCTTTTTAACCTACTATCTCTCCCCACTGTCTTCATCAACATAGAGATCTTCATTAGCATAAAGTCATCACTACCCTCTGGGTCATCTGATAATCCCTCAGATAATTGTACACACTAATAAGTAGTGGCTGTCTCGGGATGTCTTTGTCTCTGCCTGTCCTGAGGCATTGACCTCCCTGTCCCCCTGCCATGCATTATTAAATTTGTCTTTGTTTCTTATTTCATCTTTGTACCACACCCCTCATGCAGGCAGTTGAGGATGTTGGCCAAGTCCCGATAACCATGCACTAGAATCTTTTCCTGCTTCTGCTGGCTCCTTAGACCCAAAATCTTATGATCTTGTGGTCCTATTTTATCACACACATATATCTCATGAAACATTTGGTGGGAGGAGAGGTGTCTCAAAAAACTTCTAGATAATCTCTCCTCTTGGTGAGATCTTGACTCACAACACTGAGTAAACCAACAGCTCATATGTCTTCTCGTAGGCCACCTACGAAGAATTATTCTCTGTGAGTGATTTTATGCCGTCCTGGCACTGCAGGATGACCTCACTGAAAGTAGCAATTGTCATTGAAGATAGTAAGGATGGCTCCTGTCGGCAGGATTCTGCTCCCCTGGACTCATTTGCACATAACCCAGGTCATTTGTCCCAGCCAAGAAAGAGAGAGGCCTGCCTTTAAAACTGTTGTCCTTTCCTTAGATATAGCAAACTCCCAGCTAGTTGAATGTTTTATATTCTGGGAATTTTCTCGGAGCAGTGTTTCTGAATTCCAGCCCATAAAAACACAGGCTGGAGTTCTGCCAGGATCCAAAACTCCAGCTGTCACCTAGTGGATGTTTGAGTTAGAGCAAGTTACTTTAATTTTCGTGAGCCAACTGCCACATCTGTAAAGTGAGACTGAAATTGGTCAGTAAAAACCACCTCAAAGAGATGGGGGAAAGGCAAGAAGATGATATTTATAAACACCTTTCCTGGAAGCTCATAATGGGTCCTCAGTGGGCTGATGCACTTTCTGTTGCATCATGAGTTTTCTATTTCTGTTTGGCTTGTGTTCTCCTTCAAAGTCTACATCAAAAACTTCAGACTTCTTGTTGAAGCCAGAATCTTACTCAGCATTCACTCTAAAACTACTCCCTTTGTGTTACCAGCAAGGATTATTTGACCATTGCCATACTGTGCTGACCAGCCCTTTGTGTGTCTTGAAACCTTCCTATAATGCAGGTATCATTATTGCACCCATTTTATAGATAAATTGGGTGAGGTTAAGTGACTTGACCAAGGACACATAGGTAGTAAAATGGTAGAACCAGGATTTGGACCAAGAGAGGCTGGCTCCAAAGCCATCACTTTTAGCTACTTGGCTAGACCTATGGTAACACACTTCAGGTACCATTAGGGATTTTTTCTAACTTCAGTGCAGATGTGTTTTGATTCTTGATTTTCCAGAATCTGGCCTACAATTTACCACACTGAAATGAAGTTTATGTCTAAGTCAGGGTTTCTCAACTCCAGTTCTAAACAAGAGTCTAAGCTTAAGAGAAGTCAAGCAACTTTTCTAAATTCTTGAAGGCAGCAAAACCAGAATCTAAACTAAGGTTTCTCCTAATATCAAGGCCCAAAAACTTATATGACTCACTTAGTTCCTAAATAAAGGTGTGAACTCCATCCTGAAATCTATTTGTTCCTTCTGATTTTCTTTCTGCAAAACTGTTCAGCTTCTGAATTTACAACACCCAGCTGCTACTTATCAGAGCACAATCTAGATGTAAAGATTTTGGAGCTAAATCAACTGTAACCTAAGGGTTTAAGCTCTTGTTTACAACCCTGTGTCCCTGAGTGTGCCAGGAGGCTTGACTTGAGCATCTACTTCCCAGGTTCCTCCAGAATCATGGTGAGGGCTAAGCAAGCCTTGGAAACACAGGGTGACTACTCAGCTGATTGACTTCAGCCACTGTTGAAAAGAACCAAGGCAGAAATCACAGCTCAAACTTCTGCCTAAATGTCATCACCTTTTGGCTCCAGATTAATTTATTAAAATCTTTATGGACATAAAATGGACCTAATTTGCAAATTACATCACTTCCTTGATATGGAGAGATGTATAATTTAAGAGACCACTAGGCACATAGTATCCAATTGCATATAGGAGCACTAATGCATAGCAGATTGAGACTATACCAAAGCTAGGTTTCTTTAGTCTTTATTTGTCTTTATATTTGGTCTCTATTTCCTTCTCTAGGTACATGATTTATTTCTCCTCTTTGCTGGGTCCAGCTGTACACAGACACAGTCATCCAGATATTATACTGTACATTAACAAATAGGATCCCTTCTCATGGTTATATACATGTACCAAATCCCTACAATGAATGTAATCATTATATATGTATATAGTACATATATATATATGAGTTTTCTATTTCTGTTTGCATATATATATATATAATATATATGCAAATAGGTACCAATAAAATCTTTTAAGAAGGTTCTCTTTTCCATCCATTCCTCAATGCATAAACAAATTTGAAAATAAATTCTCAAGGAAACTGGAAAAAAAGTGGGTTGTCTACCAGAACCGGCTTGTTTTCCTTTGTGAAACAGCAGCTAGTAGCAGCTGTTCCCAGGTTAGTAAAGTCCAAAGGCCTTGGCAACCTTAACAACTGGGCAATCAGCAGTCAGTAGTCAGCTGCCATCCCAGGTCCTCCAAAGCCCTGCAAAATATTTCTCCTGACTCAAGTCATCACAGAATAAATAATTTTCACTGTGAAATAAAATGAAAAATCTTGCAAACAAATCAGCAGAAAGATGGTGACAAGGGAATGGAAGAAGTCTGTCTCCAATATAAGAATCTGAAAGATTAGGACCTCAGAGTATGTTAGGGTTCCATATTGCTCAACTTTGTAAACAGAAGAGAAGATAAACTTCAATGGTAATGATACAGAAATTTCCTCTGAGTGACTTTTCAGTGTAACTAAGAGACTGTTTTGGGTTCATTTTTCAATAGTGTTTAAAATAGTGTTTTCAAAACTAGGCATGGCAGAACACACCTGTAATCCCAGCACTCAGGAGGTGGAGGCAGGAGAATAGCAATGAGTCCAAGCCCAGCCTGGCCACACAGTGAGTTCAAGGTCAGTCTAGACTTCATAGCAACACTGTCTTAAAATAATAATAATAATAACAATAACAAAATAGTGTTTTCAAAGTGTAAGTATCAACACAGGAGTGAATTATGAAATCAAACTAGTTGATCATGACTGAAGTATAATTTCAATTAAAGAAATAGAATAAAATGGATATGTCAGATTACTTTACACAGAGTAAGGGTATTTTTGTTGTGGTGTGTGTTTTGGTTGTTGGCTAGCAATCTAAAATATATTCCTCTAGTTTTATATCTTTATTGAAGTAAAATTAACATGCAATAAACTGCACATATTTAAAGTATCCAATGTGATCTATATGTGTGTGAAATCATTAAACAATGAACATAATAAACATGCCCATGGCTCCCCAAAGTTTCCACATACCGCTTTGTAATCTCTCTCTCCATCCTTTACCCATTTCTTCCCCTAACTGCTTATCTTTCACTGTAGTTCGGGCTTCCTAGAAACTTATATAAATGGGACATACAGTGAATACGTACCCTTTTGCATTTGGTTTCTTTCACTCAACCTGATTGTGAGATTCATCCATATTATTGTGTGATTTCATCATGCAGTGTTATTATGGAACAGGAATCCATCATATCAACCTATCACAATTTGCTTATGCATTAATCTGCTGATGGTCAGCTGGGTATTTCTATTTTTTTTTATTTTTGGCTATTTTCTTTCTTTCTTTTTTCTTTTTTTTTTTCATGATAGGGTCTTCCTATGTAGTCCAATCTGGTCTTGAACTCATTGTATAGGCCAGGCTGGCCTTGAATTCATAATAATCCTCCTGCCTCAGCCTCCTAGTGATGGAATTACAGACATGTGCCACCATGCATCGCTCAAACTGGACTATTTTTACTTTGGGACTGTTACAGATAAAGCTGTCATAAACATTTATGTACAAGTCCATATATGGACATACATTTTCTTAGGTAAATAACTAGTTATGGAATGACCAGATCATATTAGCTGTCTATTTAACGTAAGAAACTGCAAATCTTACTGTAAAATGACATTTTACATTCTTATTGATAATGAATGAGAGTCCCAGTTCCTCTAGATAAATCTTCACCATGCTTAAAATGGTCAAGTGCTTTCATCTTAGGCTTTGCAAAGATTAGGTAGTAGTGGCTCATTTAATTTGCACTATACAATCACATTCCAATTAACATAAGGGATTGGTAAGGTAATTTCATCCTCATCGTGTGAACACCAGAGAGTGCACGTACACAGATCTAGATGGCATAT